TGGGGAGGCCAGTCCAGTAGATATAGGTGTCTTTCATGCCCCTACCAGGACAGAATGGTTGCACAGTGCAGAGGCCCCACAAGTACCTTTTCGAGAACAGCCTCCCCCCAGTGTCACGGAAAAGTCTTAATTTACAAGGGAATCAGTTCCCTGTGTCCCTTCCCACCCTGAGAGAGCAGATAGCTGTTCAGCAGCTCTTGTCAGGGCTGAGCGGCAGCACCTCCACTTGTTTGGCACTCAGTCCTCATTCTTCCCTGGTCTTGCCTTTCATGTGTTAATGTGCATCAGTGTGGTGTTCTCGGCTCTGCCTTATTTCTGTCTCTGAACTTTCATAGAGAACGTGTAAATTTTGCTTTTCTACGCTTCTTGTAGGTCACTTCAGAGGCCTGTGCTTCTTGGTCTATTGAGGGGTGGCAACTGGGGTTACTTGTGTTGTTCTTCAACTGACTGGGAAGGCCACATTTTAATGTTGAAGGTACTGATAGGTAAAACAAGAACGAGAAAACAAATTCACTTTATTCTTACACGGCTGTCTCCTCTGTCTCCTGTTGTTGGTGTCATTCTTCCTTGCAGTGTATAATCCAAAAGGTGTAAATTGCCTATAGGAGGTAATCACGGCACAGTTCTAATGGAGATGTGTTCACAGCATCTCTTGTTTGTTTTTTTATTAAGACATTTGTATCCTGTCTCTCCTCGTGGCTCAAGGGGGCTTACAAATTCCAATTTAAAAGATCCAGAAGAGCATCAGACCCCAGACCGCCCTCTTCCTTGCAGCCCATACCCTTTTAAAGCCCCAGCCAATAGGATGGCCTTGCAGCACTTCTGTCTGTAGACATTTCTAGGCAACCCCACCCCTCAGAGTGGGAGTGGCAATGGAAAAGGCACGGGTCCCAGTTGATGCCAGGCAGGCTACCCTGAGCAGGGGGCAGCTGGCGAGTGGCAACTTGAGGGCCACAACTGGCACATGGGGAGATGCAGGGAAAGACAGTCAGAGAGAGAGAGAGAGAGATGTGGGTCCTGGGCTGGAAAGGACTTCGGAGGTCATAGCCGACACTAATGGGCAACCAAGGCAGCTGTTCAAGGTAAGCAAGGTGTTCCCATTGGTTTGCCCTGACAGTAATCAAAGTGCTGTGGTCTGAAGCAGCTGCAGTTTCTGGGTTGTTGTCTTCAAGGGCTCTCAAGTATAAAGTAGATTATAGTAAGCCAGTGGTGAGGATGCAAAAGCATGGATCAGCATGGCCAGATTAGGTGGACCAAATGCAGTTGACGGAAGAGGCATTCTTGGCCACTACGCCAATCTCTGAATACCGGTTGTAGGAGGTAGTTGCATCTAGAACAACTGGATGGTCACTGTGTAAAATAGTACGCTAGACTAAGTGGACCACTGGTCTACAAAATTTGTGTGTTCTGTTTTCAGAAGATGTGCTGAGACAGCATACCTGCAGGAAAGAAAGATAGCTTTTCCCCAGAGGGAATTCAACTGCTGTTGGCTTCTGCCAATGACATCTTCCCCCTCTCCAAGCCTTTGCCTTCTGTCTTTATTTAACCTGCCCCCACAGGGCTGTTAGGATACAATGGAGGAGAGAGGGCCCTGCCCAGGAGGACCCTAAGCTTCAAGAAGGAAGGGCGGGATAAAAAGGTGGCAGCTGGGTAGACCCTTCCCACGTGCCTCTGTACACTTGGTGGGAATAATGCCCCTTGGAAAAAGGGGGGGGGACCAGTGAGTGAGCCCCCTGTGAACCTTGGAGCAGGGAGTGGAATGCCTGGCCGGTGCTCACCAGCTGGTAGCTCTTGGATGGGGAGTTCCCAGAGTGATTTGGGCAGGATGAGAATGGCTTTTCATAGAATCATAGAAAGAGTTGGAAGCGGCCTTGCAGGTCATCTAGTCCACACCTCCTGCACTCTGCAGGAGCACAGCCGAAAGATAATAGCCCTACAACATACCTGGAAGGTGGTCGTCAGCCTCCGCTTGAAAACTTTTGTCGTTGGAGGCATCCTTGGTTTTGGTACTGATATCTGTTTGGTGGCCCTGATTAGGCAGGAAGTTTTGTAAACAGGTACAATAAATACTTGTGTAAAATGGGGGGGGGGGTTTTCCTTCCCTGCCTTGTCGCTTAGCATGAAAGCAGTGGAGACACTTTCAAGTGCCAGGGAGAGAAAAGTTTTCCACCATAGCCGGGCCTTGCCTGAAGAGCTCCTGCAGTGCCCTTGATGCTGCTCCTGTGGGGAGGTGGCTGTTGGGGGCCCATGAAGTCCTGGTACAGGGCTGTGCGGCATCCTTGGGAGCAGGCACCTTCCGGGGTCAGCTGGTTGTCTGAAATGTTGCCAGCTTATAACAGTCATCTTGCTCACAGGACCGGGGGGGGGGGGGGGCGGAGCTGGAGAGCAGCGGACAGGTCCCCTTTGCCAGGGCTCCTCTCCACTTGTTTCTGGCGTTGTTGTTTTCCTGCAGGGAAAGTCACTGGTTGCACTTCGAAAGGGCTTAACTTTTTAAATTCAGTGTTGAGGTTTGCTACAGTTTGAGCAAGTGGGAAAAAGCAGTTTGTGCCTCAGGAGACTAGCACCAACACCTTTTGTATCTGTCCACAGTGTGTGTTTCTCGGGGGGGGGGGCGCACAGATAACGGCAGGTGAAGAGGATTTTGTTCCAAAACCAGTCTGGAGAAGTTACGAGGGGGCTGCAGAGGAGAGGGGCGGATTGTGAAGATGCTTTGTGCCATGCCCTGCCGTGGGCCCCTGTGGGGAGCCCGCAGGCATCCTGTGAAGTGGGATCCTCTGGTGTCCATCGTCTTCTTTGGCGGGGCTCGCAGGATAAGCTGCTTTTTGCTCTAGCTCCCCCTCTCAAAAAGAAATCAGAAATCTCATGGTCTTACTTGTTGCTAGATGAAAATACTTTTAGTAAAATACTCATGGAAATACAGATATAACATTGGACAGGATCAGTGTGGGGGAGGTAAAATACTCGGAGATCAGGGATTTGTTGCTGCTTTGATGACAGTATGAGGCCGATTCATCTTTTCACCGCCGGTTTGAGGGTCCATTTTGGGTCCCAAGAGGGGCTGCATCTTTGCTGGCGTCTTGGAGTTCATTTCTTTAGGGGTCTCAGCAGTTTGATCTGGCTTAGGGGTGGGTGGGCCCACGTGAGGTGGGATACGCAGAGCGCTGTGCCTTTCTGCCCATAGCTTATTGCCAGGAGCCGTTTGTAGTGCGTGGCCACAGGTGCGGGCTGTTAATATGTCTTGCCACCATTATATAACATTGCATACTAGCACTTTACGATCAGTTTTACAAATGTTCTGTTTTTAGCTGTTTTAATGGTTATGTAGGCCGCCCCGAGCCTGCCTTGGTGGGGAGGGTGGGGTATGAATTGAACAAACAAATAACTAAATAAAATGTGTTCCCATGTGGCTGGAATCCGTGTCCCCTCTAAGCCGAGTTAGTGTGAGCCAGCTCACAGTTTTTTAGCCTCCAGCCCTTTTTGTCTTAGCTCAGGAAGGATGGCTCCAGAGCAAATTAATTTATGCAGTAGCCAAATTGCTTGCTCACAACTGTAATGCCGGTCGCTCACAAAGTAGGATTTTTGCTCACAAGACTTCACAGGTTAGAGGAAGCATTGGCTGGAATATCTCCCCAGCGTGTGTTTTAGAGAAGAAACCTGGGGGTGGGGGTGGGGTGGCTGCTGTTGTGGGAGTATAAAAGTAGTTGAATTTTACCTCAAAGACACAAGAGCTCTTTTAATTGACAGTCTAGGGGAAAACCGCCGCGTAACATGACCTGCAACATTTTCCAGCATTTTGGAGGGTATTCATTGGTTTTTTTGTGTAACCCAAAGTCCCAGCTTTATTCTAGATAGACACCTTTGCACTCTCATGCTTGAACATTGGTCTGACTGTCTCATTCCCAACACTTTTCTATAGCCAATTCTGAATCAGATAGTCTTGATGAGAGGGGGGATTCTCTGCCCTGCCATTCTTGGTTAATGATTACCCCATCCAAGGCCATATGTTTTCCTTAAAGCTCCAGTCAGGGCTGGTATTCTGTCTGTTTTCAGAAGGTGGAGTTCTTGGCTAAGATCTTAATCTGTTCAAAATTTAATTATAGATGTTGCTGTTCTCTTGCTGCGCCTGGTAGGGTTGTGTGATGAGAATGCCTAAAGGATGGTGAGGCTCCACCAGGCCTGTGTGCCCGACAAAATTTTTCGGTTTTCCTACACATCTCTTAAGCTGGTGAAACTCTACATTACACTTAATTAAATCTTTCCTATTGTTGGAAAATGTAACAGGATCTACTTGACGTATTACCCTCATTCAGTTTCCTCGACTGCCATCTCTCTGGATTTTGCAAGCAACTGCTTAGATGAGGATTATGAATTCCTTGTATGGGTTGGAAGCAAGTTATGGAAATTGCTTTGTGCATTATAGAAGCAAGAAAGGAGGAGCCAAATCAAGAGATAGCAGAATGCTTCTGCCGGAAAGCACCAATCTAGTCAAATTAAATGCTTTTCCTTTGTGCTGGCTGGGTAGAACAAGAACATGTCTCCTGACTTGTCAGAATCTCTAGGTTTTAGCTGTGTTGGATTCCTTAGGAGGTGCCACTGCAGTGCGGTTTATGAATGCCTTTTAGTACACAGTCTACAGGGCTGTTCAGCAGACCTTCCGTGTAAATGGTGCGTGGTACAGGAGAGGGGTTCCCAGTTTCTCGTGGCCTGGGTAACCTATTCATTGTTCATGCAGACACACACACAGATTCTGTCTGTCTCTCTCTTTCTCTCTGTCTGTCTGTCTGTCTGTCTGTCTCTCTCTCTCTCTCTCTCTCTTTCTCTCAAGCAAACTGGGCTGAATCTCAGTTCCTCAGAGAAAATGTTTATATTAACAGTCATATTAACCCAAGTGGGGTACATTTGGCTATTGAGGGGCTAGAAGTATGACGTGGAGTTCTTTCAAGGTGGCTGCTTGCATCTTCCTGTGTGCTGAACTGCAGTGGTCTCTTTCACTTCCATAGCAGCGACTCCAGCAGCAGTTCAAGTGATGAGTCTCCAGCCCGGTCTGTTCAGTCCACCGCAGTTCCAGCACCCACCTCCCAGCTGCTTCCATCTCTGGAGAAAGATGAGCCACGGAAAAGTTTTGGGATCAAGGTTCAAAATCTTCCTGTGCGCTCCACAGGTAAGGTTCCAGTTCATGAGGAATGCTTGACACCTCCCGTGCAAAGTCTGGCACCACTCAGAACTCATGTAGAGATGTTCCACTGTCCAGTACATGGGGTTGTCTTCTGCATACCTTCGTGGGGTTGGAAGGCAGGAGCTGTGCTGCAGCTCGACAGATCCGGACCTGGTTGAAGTCTGGAGGACTGGAATCCTGGGATGGATTCCTGTGGAAGCAGCCTGGAGGACCATGGCAGAAAATAAGATGAAGAAGATTTCTGTAGTTTGCATTGAACTTCTGGGCAGCGAGGGAGGCTGGCCAGGGTGGCCCAGGCTAGCCTGACCTCGGAAGCTAAGCAGGGTCAGCCCTGGTTAGCACTGGGATGGGAGACCATACCCACGATTCAGCCTCTGCTCCTGTCAGAGGGAGGGAGAGTAGCAGAGCACTGAAGTTCTGGCCAATGGCCGTCGTCTTCAGCCTCCCATTTGGCTTCCCGGACTTTGCTAGGCTGCCCTGGGCAAGAATTGCCGGGCGGTGGGGGGCATGGGACTGGGCTGGGAAAGGGTGCTGGCCTCTGGGCATGCCTCCAGATGCCAGGTGGCCTGTATGTGAGTGTATCTCATGTTGCACCACAAGTATGGATGTGCCTCTGAGAAATTAAAGTCGCCACCCTGTGCAATAAAGTCGCCACCCTGTGTCATAACAAGGTGTTGCTGTTTTGGCTTGCTCCTTGGGTTTAGACACCAGCCTTAAAGACGGGCTGTTCCACGAGTTCAAGAAGTATGGGAAGGTGACGTCTGTACAGATTCACGGGGCCTCTGAAGAGCGCTATGGGCTGGTGTTCTTCCGGCAACAGGAGGATCAGGAGAAAGCACTGAATGCCTCCAAAGGGAAGCTCTTCTTTGGCATGCAGATTGATGTTACGGCGTGGATAGGCCCAGGTGAGCGTGACAACGCCTTTGTGGTGACACTGGAGGGAGCAGAGCCATGCTGGAGTGCTTGAGCTTGACTTGGAAGAAGGGGACCCGTGGCACGGAGCCTTCTCTCTAGACCAGAAGCACCTGTCAGCAGTGCCTCCTTAGGCAAATCTTTTTCAGGAAGACATGGTTGTGGACACACCCTCTCTCTCTTAGCTGCCACTGGGGGGGGGTGCAAATGAAAAAAAAGGAGCGGATTAAAAGTGTCCCCCTATTAATGAAGTTAGTAGACGCAGAGCCATCTGAGGCAGCACAGAATCTAATCTCAGCCTGAGTTTGCCTTTTGTCGTTAGGGAAAGTAATGAATTGCACTGAAATCAGTTCAGAGCCTCCCACTGTCCTTGTTTCAGCTCCTGGTTGAATTCCGCTTTCTGCTACTGGAATTCCTACTTTCCATGTTTACCAGTCTGCAGGCTGTGATGGTTTTTAATTTTCTGGCACCGTTTGATCCCAGGGGTGGGGGTGGGCAGGACACTTCTCTCTTGACACGGCTCATGTGCTGAGATTTTTAAGAAGGTGACATCAGATAACTCTTTATTCTCCCATTTCAAGAAACAGAAAGCGAGAATGAGTTTCGGCCTTTGGATGAAAGGATAGACGAATTTCACCCAAAAGCAACAAGAACTCTCTTCATTGGCAATCTGGAAAAAACCACCACGTATCATGACCTTTGCAATATTTTTCAGCGTTTTGGAGGGATAGTGGTATGTACACTGGTGTGTTAGTGTGTGGAAAATATGCTAACTTTTGCAATTATGCGCACAGTTTTCATCTTGCAAGAATGCTTGGATCAGCTTATTAAAAACTAGAAATAGTAAAGATACACTGTTTTTAATTTTCTTGAGTCTGTTGCATGTAGCCAAACCTTACTTGAGAGGCTGCTTCATCATCCCTGGAGAGCAGCGTATTAAGATCCTTCAGAAGAGAATAGCCCTCCCGTCTGATTACACGTCTCTGTCCTGTCCAAAGAACATTGTTTGCCTGGGTTGGGCGCTAGAGTGAACAAACGCTGACCAAAGAGTTCTTTCTGTTTGCTTAAACCCACTAAATCCCCAGGACTAGATTTTCTTTGTCAGTCACTGACTGACTTGGTAGATTTTGGCTGCAAATATTTTATTTATTTATTTTATTTTATTTATTTTTCACATTTATACCCCGCCCTCCCCATAGGTTCAGGGCGGCTTACAGAGGCAAGGCAGAACCTTGCCATAATAAATAAAAACATAAAATAGGTAACACAGAGAAAGTAAGGAATCAATAATATTAGTTGCATTTTTACTGTTAGGTTTCCTTTTGACTGCTGCTGGGGCACCGTTGTAACTGAGGGAGTAGTCCAGCGGGCCTTTTTTCCTCTCTTTAAGCTGGCCTGGGCCTGGGCAAGGGCGCTTGTGTGGCAGTGGAAACCAGCTTGTGGGGCAGGATGGGGGTGGGTCAGCAGAGGAAGAGAGTTCTGCTTTCTCTCAGGGGAACTTGGATAAGCAGGTGGCTGAGCAGAGGGGTGGAGAGCCAGCTCAGGCAGGCAGACAGGCACGCGCACACACTCAACCTTCAGAGTGACTTTGCCAGCAAAGACTGTTTGAGGGGTGGGTGTGAACAATGGAAAGGTGAGCCAGTTGTCATCTTGAGGCGCACCCCCCCCCCCCCATGCGCTGGCTTCCCCCTTGCATGTCATGGATGAAGAGGAGGAAGGGCTTTCCTTTTTTATTATTTATTTATACTTTCAATTTCTATACCGCTCAATCCCGGAGGCTCTGAGCGGTTTACAAGCATTTTACATTTCCTAACTAGGGCCACATACAATGTATATATATAGGGAGGTGAGTGCCTACCAGGCACCCCGCCGGCGTGTGTGTTCTTTTCCTTATGGTGGAAGCTTGTCTCGGCGGGCTCTGCAGCGGCTCCTTCTGGGGAAGCTCCCATAGTCTGCGACTGTGCGACAACTTCCTGCGCTGGCCTCTGTCCAATTGGCTCCAGCCAAGCAGTGTCGCCATGTTGTTATTAAATTTATATCCCACCCTCCCCGCCATAGCGGGCTCAGGGCGGCTAACAGACATAGACGTAGATATATACATTAAAACTCCATAATATGATAAAACAGGTTAAGTTAAGACTACAATATAAAACCATAACTGCTCAGTGCATACGATGCTAAAAGATGGCGACGTTCTGTCAACACTTGAATGGCCGCCTGCACCCTAGTCCAGGCTCCTGCCAGGCTGTTAGCTGTCCAACTGGTGGTGATGTTGGTGTTAGGGCCAGGGCCACGATGTTAAAGGCAGCCCCCTAACTGAAGGCCTGGTGGAAGAGCTCCATTTCACAGGCCCTGTGGAACTGCAAAAGGTCCCGCAGGGCCCTGATCTCCTCCGGGAGCTCGTTCCGCCAGTAAGGGGCAGCTACAGAAAAGGCCCTGGCCCTCATTGCGGCCAACCTGGCTTCTTTAGGGCTTGGGAGAGCCAGGCAATTTTGGGATCCCGATCGTAGTGCTCTCTGGGGAACATGTGGGGAAAGGCGGTTCCTTAGGTAAGTAGGTCCCCAACCATATAGGGCTTTAAAGGTAAAAACCAGCACCTTGAACCAAATCCGGTATGCTATAGGCAGCCAGTGCAGTGCTTTTAGGGCGGGCTGGATGTGTTCCCACAGAGGAAGACACAGCAACAGCCTCGCCGCTGCATTCTGCACCAGCTGCAGCTTAAGGATTTGGGACAGGGGCAGCCCCATGTAGAGAGCATTGCAGTAATCCAACCTCGAGGTGACCATTGCATGGATCACCGTTGCCAGGTCATTGCGTTCAAGGAAGGGAACCATCCCCCCGGCCACTTCTGGGTGAGTGAGTGAGTGAGGATCCGGGGTCCCAACTGGCATGCAGGGAGGAGGAAGAATTGGCATGTTTGCCTGATTTGGGGAGCTGACACCTGCTTCAGTTATTGAGTTGGGGGAGGGAGGGTGTGTCATGCTAGCCACTGGTTTTCAGAAGAAGGACATGAGTGGAGGCCTGCTTCCCTCCTTATGGGGGCGGGGGTCATGCTGCATCCCTCTTTGATCTCAGGTGGCCTTCCTCTCCCCCCACACAGGACATTGACATCAAGAAAGTGAATGGCGTCCCCCAGTATGCCTTCCTGCAGTACTGCGACATTGCCAGTGTGTGTAAAGCAATCAAGAAAATGGATGGGGAATACCTTGGAAATAATCGGCTGAAGGTAAAGAAGTCTTCTCTTAGCGGTGCTCCTCTTGGTGGTCAGCGGTTGCTTCCAGAGACAGAGGTTCATTTTCACCAGTTTTGAGCAGAGTGGGGATGGGGAGGATTCTGCTGTGTCCTCCTTAGGGCTTGTCGCAGGCGTAGATTGGGTTCTGCTCTTTCCTGGGTATCATCTTTTCTTAGTGGTAGCCCCAAAGCGGGTGTGGTGCTTGTAAAGTCCCCTGAACTTTGGAGACTTCTGTGCTGATGCCCTTTTTTGCCCTTTTGTGTCCAGCTGGGCTTTGGGAAGAGCATGCCCACCAACTGCGTGTGGATAGATGGTCTTTCGACCAGCATAACGGACCAGTATTTGACGCGCCATTTCTGCCGCTATGGGCCTGTGGTCAAGGTAGGTGGGAGGCTTGCCTTAGCCAGATGCTCTCCCGGCTTCCTTCCTCGGCAGTCTTGCTCCCCCCAGCTCCCTGTCCGCTGCCCTTTGGGGGCTTTATGCTCCTGCACCAGCTTTTTGGCTTGGGAAAGAACTGAGCTGAGCCCAACGGAGCAGTGAAGCCCCAAGCTGTCTTGTTGCTTTTCAAAGTGGCGTTGAAATTGGGGGAGCAGTTCCAGCTCCAGGGGCTCTCGCCCGTTCAGTATGGAAGGAAATGCTGGACTCACATTCTGGACATGGAGGGGGACATGCAGTGCCCAAGCAAGGCCTGTGCCACAGTGCATGGGCCAGTTTGCATCTGACTGACCTTGGCCAGCCCGCCTGCCCATCTTCCGTGTGGAGCACAGGCCCTTTCCTGAACTTTGGCCATTCTCTGGGTCCGGCAGATAAGCGGTCAGGCTGTGTGGAAGAAGCCCAGGGGAATGACGGTGGAGCTTCCTGGCAAGTGGTGTGCCTCCTGTGGTCTTTCAGGCAGCACATATGGTAACTCAGTGACACCAGCACTGAATCGTGGGGTTTTAATATCCCAGTGACGGACCTCCCCACACCTCCAAAAACCCTTTGCGGCCTAAAAACTCCTAAAATTCCATGAGACATAAAATGTATGGCGCTGCAGTGTTTGCTAGCTAGAGTTGAAATCAGTAAAGTAACATAAACAGGTTGAAGGACAAGCGCCCCTCTCCACAGTCCAGAGCAGACCCTCCTGCCCCGTGCTGATGGCCCCTCTTCAGAGGAGCCTTATGGGAGGGAAGCCAGGACGCCTTTCCTTCCGTGGTAACACCACCCTCTTCCCTCGTCCAGCCCTCCGCCTTGGCAGAACTGGGAGCAGGGGTGGCCCAGTGGACGAGGCTCTTACGTGTTTTTTGTTTTCACTTTTTTTGCAGGTGGTGTTTGACCGCTTAAAAGGCATGGCTCTCATTCTCTATAATGAGATTGAATATGCACAAGCAGCTGTAAAGGAGACCAAGGGGAGGAAGATAAGCGGAAATAAGATCAAGGTCTGAAAAACCTGAAAGATCTGAATAAATGAATAGCTTAGTGGCCCCCATTCCTAAGACCTGAATTATCATCATCATCATCATCATCGTCATCATTAGTGAAGTTGCTCCCTGGCCTCCCTTCCGGGCCTCCCTGATTCTGCTTTCGGCTTGGCTCCGTTTCCCCCTCGGGCCTGGCTGCCAGTCCCTCTGGAGGTGGGCAGGGGCAGCCGTCCTGCCTGGAGTGGCCAATGGGGGTGCATGAGAATTTGCTGTGTGCCTCCTGGCCGGCTCAGCCTCCTTTTCCTAGCATGAGCTGCAGAATGGCCTCTGGCAGAACAACCACTGCCTTCGAGAAAGAAAGTAGCCTTGTTTTGTGATGGGGGGGGGGGCAGACTGGGTGGCCCCTGGAAGTTTTTCTCCTGGAGCATGTTTCCCTTCCTGCCAGCTGGGAGGCATCGCCTCATGTGAGTCTGCAGGCAGGCAGGCAGTAGGATCCATGCACGTGGGACGTTGAGGTGTCAGACCCACGTTGTTTCGTGTGTGTGGTCCATGACTGTTATAGCCTCTGCAGCCCCTGGGCCATGTTGGCTTCCCAGGGCTGTGGCCACTCCATTCTCTTGCATGCAGATCCTTAAATTTATTTTAGAGATAAAGCTGTGAATGTTTTACGTAATGCGTATCTACCCTCATTAAGAGCCAGTAGTGTCACAGGAGAGGCTGCGATCACACAAATTCAATAATCCACTTTCAATCCACTTTCCAAATAGTTTTTTACTGTGTGAACTGGCAAAATCCAGTTTGAAAGTGCATTGAAAGTAGATTATTTAGTGTGCGTGATCGCAGCCAGAATCGTATAGTTGGAAGGGGCTTCCAGGGTCATCTACTCCAACCCCCTGCACTATGCAGAACATTCACAAATACCTCCCTCCCACACTCCCAGTTCCACACCCAGAAGATGACAGAAAAACCTCCAGGATCTCCAGCCAATCTGGCCTGGAGAAAAATTGCTTCATGACTCCAAAGCCAGTTTGGTGTAGTGGTTAAGTGCGCGGACTCAAATCTGGGAGAACCGGGTTTGATTCCCCCACTCCTCCACTCGCAGCTGTTGGATGACCTTGGGCAAGCCATAGTTCTGTCAGAGGTGTTCTTGAAAAAGGCCAGTTTCTGTCAGAGCTCTCTCAGCCCCACCTGCCTCAGAGGGTGTCTGTTGTGGGGAGGGGGAGGGAAAGGAGATTGTAAGCCGCTGTGAGACTTGGTGCTTGGGCGGGGTCAACAGTGGGAGGACTTCTAATGTCCTGGCCCCACTGGTGGACCTCCTGAGGGCACCTGGTATTTCTGGCCACTGTGTGACACAGAGTGTTGGACTGGATGGGCCTTTGGCCTGATCCAACATTGGCGTCTCTTATGTTCTTATGAAGGGCGGGGTATAAATCCAATCTCCTCCTCCTCCAAAGTGGCAATCAGCATTTCTGTGGGTGCGTAAAAACCGCTCTGTCAGGAAGTTCTTCCTAATGTTTAGTTCTTCCTAATGTTTAGTAAGTAAAAATTATATATGTGTCTACAGCAGTCAGTTGGCAGAGAAAAGCAGTCTCTTGTCCTGAGGAAGGGATTTGAAATATGAGTTTGGCTTGCCATATCATGTTTGGGCATGTTGTTGTGGGGAGGGTACAAAAGATCTTAATATTTAAAGCAGTAAAAGCTGCTAGTTGTGCTCCTTTTGTCCGGAGGTGGAAGGTTTGTTTCCATTGTTTGAAGTTAATTGCAACTACTAGTCATGACAGCTAAATGTTCAGATGCAGCATATTTTTTTGTTCTACTTTTGATCTGACCGATATTCAAAGAGCACGATGCAGGGTGTGATGAGAGGGCTCCTTGGCTGACTCAGAAGGTGGCTCTTCCAAAGAATGACCTAAACTGCTTTTTCAGGTGGATTTTGCCAACCGTGAGAGTCAGATGGCGTTCTACCATACCATGGAGAAGACGGGCCAGGATATCCGAGACTTCTATGAGGTGCTGGCAGAGAGAAGGCGAGTATCCTTAACTCACATAGGCCAGTCTGGAGCTCGTATGGTCAGACTGGGACATGTGCCCTTGCATTGTTTTGAAGTAGTGTGTTATCAGTTTTAATATTTTTTTCATATATCATTTTAACTTGGTTTGGAAGATAATTTAAAAATAAACACTGAAAGAGACAAGTGAAGCCCAGGCTACATCAGACATCCTTGTTTGGCTTACCTATCAGTCAGATCACCTCAAGAGCAGTGGTTGTGATAGGGATACTTAAGATAAATAGGGGAGGAGAGGGGTCTTCAAGTAATGTAGATTTCTTTAAATGGGCCTGAGAAAAAGTGACTCGATCAACTACCTTTTGCCTCCTTGTTGTCTTAGCACTGCTGCCTGCCAGTTTGGTGTCATGGCTAAGTGCGCGGACTCTAATCTGGGAGAACCGGGTTTGATTCCCCACTCCTCCACTTGCACCTGGCTGGATGACCTTGGGCAAGCCGTAGTTCTGATAAGAGCTGTTGTTGAAAGAAGAGCAGTTTCTGTCAAGAGCTCTCTCAGCCCCGCCTCCCTCACAGGGTGTCTGTTGTGGGGAGGGGAAGGGAAAGGAGCTTGTAAGCCACTCTGAGACACCTTTGGGTAGTGAAGGGCGGGGGATAAATCCAATCTCTTCTTCTTCTAAGGCCTGGTGTTAAATCTGCCATTTAAAGATATGAGTTAGGCTTTGGTCCACTATGCCCAGCTTGTTCAGAGGTTGAACTTTGTTCCTTTGTTGCCACTCGGTTTCCCCTTTTTAAACATTCTTTTGGCCAATGTCATACCTTTAGTGCCAAGATTTTGGCAAACAGGGGCTGCTTCCTCTAGCGTACTAGAAGAGAGTTCCTTGGATGGCATCGGCTGCTTTTTCCCAGCACCATTCTCAAGGGGTACCAAGTGGTTTCAGCTCTCTCCTTGGTTTCTTGGCATGTGATTTCAGTGAGCACATCATATGAACACTTCCCCCCCCTCCTCAGTAAAAAAAAAGGTGGATAAGAAGAAGGATGCCATTAGAATAGTTCTTCAGAAAATGTATTGAAAGTGCGCATGGTGTCTGATCAGCTTGGGAGAAGAAGCAGTGTTGGCGGGTTAGCCTGCGACATGGAAAATGGTTCTGAGTGATTCTTATTTTGATGAATCTGGCTATTGCTGTATGTGGTGACCTCCAGTTGGGGGCCAGCTAATTTCTTGGTGTCCTTGGTTTTGGCAGAGATGAAAGAAGAGGATCGTACGACTATGCTGCTGACCGCACTTACTATGAGGCTGTGAGAACTCCCGGGACATATCCTGAAGATCCTCGAAGAGAGTATCCAGCTCGTGGTAGGGAATTTTATGCAGACTGGGATCCTTATCAAGGAGACTATTATGACCCACGCTACTATGATGATCCACGGGAATACAGAGATTACAGAGGTGACCCTTACGAACAAGACATCAGGGAATACAGTTACAGGCAGCGGGAGCGGGAGCGATTCGAAACTGACCGGGACCATGAAAGGAGGCCGATCGAACGGAGTCAGAGTCCTCATTCCCGGCGGCCACAAAGCCCAGGAGCATCTCCATCACAGTCTGAGAGACTGCAGAGTGACTCCGAGAGGAGGATTTACAGCAGGTCTTCAGAGCGAAGCGGTAGCTGCAGCTCACTTTCTCCACCACGCTATGAAAAACTGGACAAAGCCCGTCTGGAGCGCTATGCAAAAACTGAGAAGGCAGAAAAAGAGAGAGCCTTTGAGCCAGAGAGACCTGACAAAGACAAGCGGCTGGTTAGGAAAGATAAAACAGAAAAACTTGAAAAAGATAAAATGGACAAACAAAAACGAAAAGCCAAAATTCATTCTCCTAGCTCTCAGTCGTCTGAGACAGACCAAGAAAACGAGAGAGAGCCCAGTCCAGAGAGGTTAAAAGGCAGCATTAAGCAGAGCAGGGAGAGAGCGGAAAAAGAAGGGCCAGCTAAGAACCGCCTCGAACTGATGCCGTGCGTAGTGTTGACTCGAGTAAAAGAGAAGGAAGGGAAAGTGATTGACCAGCCAGCTTTGGAGAAATTGAGAGGGAAGCAAGAAAATGACACAATGAAGTCTTCCTTGCCTGAGCCAAAACTGCAGCTATCCCAGGCAGAGTTCGCCAAGTCTGATCAGCTGAAACTTGAGCCCATTAGAGCTAAGGTGCCAAAGGAGAAGATGCTTGCCAGTCACGTTGAAGTGGTTGATAAGGATGGGAAATTGAAGCCCAAGAAGCACCTGAAGGCAGAACTGCCAAGTGAAGTGGCAAACCCAGTTGACCTGGAAAAGCTGGAGGCTCGCAGAAGGCGCTTTGCAGATGTCAGCCTGAAGCCTGAGAAGCAAAAACTGGAAATCAAAAGAAGTGCTCAGGAGGAGGAGGAGGCGGCGGCGGCGGCAGTGGCGGCACGAGTGGTTCTGAAAAAGCAGACTGATGTTTCAGTGGAATCTGAACGGAAGTCCTTGAGGAAAGAAGCATTTAAAAGGGATTCTAAGAAAATTAAGGTGGAAAGATTCATTCCTGTTGCCAGTCCCAAAGATACTCCAGAGCCTACAAGCATTTTTGCGGGTGTCAGTTCACGGCCCAATTTGGAGCTGCAGGCCAGGCTGGGAGAGCCAGTGGATGAACCTGTGGAAGCCCCTGAGATCCCTTATGCAAGGAAGGTCAGTTCAGTGAAACTGCAGCACAAACACCCCCCCCAGCTGCTGGGTGATCAAGGAGCGGAGAGAGATGATGTACGGAAACATTACAGCAGTCTTCCAGAAGAAATGCCTGACCACAGACATGTCCAAGAGAAGCCCCTGTCGTTGGAGATTGAAGAGAAAATTCCTATTGACATTGATCACACGCAGAGTTACCGGAAACAAATGGAGCAAAGTCGCAGGTTAAAGCAGCAAATGGAAATGGAAATAGCAAAGTCTGAGAAGTTTGGCAGTCCAAAGAAAGACCTAGATGAGTATGAAAGGCGGAGCCTGGTGCATGAGGTGGGGAAGCCCCCCCAAGACGTGACTGATGACTCCCCCCCCAGCAAGCGTAAGAAGTCATCTGATGCTTTTGATTTTGAAATTAGCACCAAGAGGGAGAGAAACTATCGAAGCTCTCGTCAAGTGAGTGAAGATTCTGAGAGAATGGCTTGTTCTCCAAGCCTCAAACCTTTTCCTTTCCATGAGGAGGACGAGGCGCTGGATTCCCCAAGGCTGATACCTTTAAAAGAAGCCAAAGAATCACCGAAAACAGATGAAAGGGGCCCTGCATGTTCTAATATGGCCATTAGAGAGGATCCTCTGAAGTTTAATCCCTATGATTCCAGTCAGAGAGAACCGGTGGCAGAAGTGGCCAAAATAAAACTCTCTTCGATGAATCCCGAGGAGGAATCCAACCGGTGGGAACCCCCAGTGAAACCGGAGCCTGGCCGAGTGGATATCAGCTTCCCCAGTAGCGCCGTCAAAAGGGACGGCCTTCGGAAACGGTCGATTCGAGACCTGGAGCCAGGAGAGGTGCCTTCGGACTCCGATGAGGATGGCGACAGCAAGGCCCGGTCTCCTAAGGCCTCTCTGCTGCTGGAGAGCTCCCGCTTGTCTTTTTTATTAAGGGACAGGGAAGAGAAGCTACGTGAGAGGGAGGACAGGCTGCCAACCTCACTGGAGAGGAACAAATTCTATTCTTTTGCCCTGGACAAAACTATCACACCTGACACAAAAGCCTTGCTGGAGAGAGCCAAGTCTCTCTCCTCATCCAGGGAAGAAAACTGGTCTTTTCTCGACTGGGACTCAAGATTTGCTAGTTTTAGAAACAACAAGGACAAGGAGAAGGTGGATTCTACTCCAAGGCCAATCCCCCCATGGTATATGAAAAAGAAGAAAATCAAAACTGATTCCGAAGGGAAGCTGGACGATAAGAAAGAAGATCATAAAGAGGAGGAGCAAGAGAGGCAGGAGTTGTTTGCCTCACGATTCTTACACAGCTCGATCTTTGAACAAGACTCAAAGCGCTTGCAGCATTTGGAAAGGAAGGATGAAGACCTGGACTTCCTTTCTGGCAGACTATATGGGAGGCAGTCTTCTCTGGATGGGACCAACAGTGTCCCAGATGTCTTGGTGCAAGAGCCAGTGGTTCTCTTCCATAGCAGGTTTGTTGAACTCACTCGCATGCAGCAGAAGGAGAAGGAAAAGGACAGGAAGCCCAAAGAAGCTGAAAAGCAGGAAGAGAAGGAGGACCGCCCCAAAACACCCGAGGTGACAGTGCCCGAGAAGAAGGAGCCTGAGCAGCAGTCTCCCGTGATTGTGGGTCCCATGCCAGTGGCTCCGGCCTTTCAAGACCCAGAGAAGGCCACAAACGAAAAGTTACCAGCCGAGCTGCCCACTTCCAAAGAAGAGAAGGCCCCTGAGCTCGGTCCGGAAGCCGAAGAGCCTCTTCCAGAGCTTGTTGTCCCTGTGAAAGCTGAACTGCCTGAGCCACCTCTTGACGCAGCTGCAGAAGATAAAGATGCTGCTCCTTCCGCTGCAGATCCTGAGGAGGCCGCAGTCTCTGTGGAGAACCCTTTGTATTTGGATGCCAAGCCACCTACGCCTGGATCTTCTTTTTCCCAAGCAGATGTCATCAGCACAGACCCAGAAGCAGTTGCAGCCCCTCCACAATTGGCCACGGTGGCTGAGGAATCGTTGGAACCTAAAGAAGACAGCCTTGCAGTGGCCCCCGGGCCAGAACCTGCTGCCGGTCAGAAAGCGGAGGCAGTGGCTGAGGCTCTCCCCGCAGCTTCTGATACAGAGGTGGAAGCCGAGCCTCCGGTCGTGAAGGACAAGCGGCCTTGCAAGAGCAAGAGGTCCAGAACTCCTGTCCAGTCTGCTCCTGCAAACATTACCGATAAACCCATCACGAGGAAGAGTGAAAGGATTGACCGTGAAAAACTGAAAAGATCCGGCTCTCCCCGTGGGGAAGTGCAGAAGCTTCTCGAATTGAAAGGAGAAGCAGAGAAGACTTTGAAAAATGCAGCTAAATCTCCAAGCGCAACGGCGGAGTCAGACAACCCAGAGCCGAGCCTACCTGTCGGCCGAACAAGGCGCAGAAATGTCAGGTCAGTTTATGCTACCCCAGGAGACCACGAAGGTCCCTCGCCTGTGAAAGATCCTGTGGAGCTGACCAGGTCTACCAGAAAAAGAGCCGAAAGAGAGCCGCCCGAGATTGTAGTTGTTCCTACTCCTCCCAAAAGAGGCCGGCCTCGAAAGTCACGTCACAAACCTGAGGAGGAGATCTCTCCGGTCAAGACAGAGTCGGTACAGCTGGAAGCAGAAGAAGCAGAAGCAGTGGAGACCCCTAAGCCTGTGGAGGGGTGGAGGTCCCCCAGATCCCAGAAGCTGCTGCACAGCCACTTGTCGGCTGCCAGTGGTCAGCAAGGGAAAAAAGGCCGGGCAGAACCAAAGGTTGAGGTCCCAGCAGATCCCGAAGAGCCACCTGAACTACCTGGCCATGGTTCGAATGTGGGAGAAAATGGCAGTAAGATCAAGGCAGACAAAGAAACCGCTGCTGGTGAACCAAAGCGAGAAAAGAAGGATGCTGACGTGGAGAAAAGCCCTCCTGAAGCCTGCACGACTGAGATTGTAGAAAGAAAACCTCCCCCAGAGAAGATGACCAAGTCCAAGAGGGGAAGATCTAGAAACATCAAGGCTGTTGACAAAGCGTCCTTGATTAAGAGCCTGAAGAGTGTCGAAATTCGGCTCAATGTGGACGAGGTCAGAGGCGCTCTACGGCCAAGTGAAGAGGAGATGGAACCCCTGCCAGCATCACCCAGAAACAAAAGTCCTCAGAAGGAAGACAAGTTGCCTGCCCATTTCCCAAAGAGTGAAGCAGAAGACCCCTTTCAGGACCCCGAGCAGAACACCCCCTCTGAGCCAACGCAGTCTCCTGAAGCAGCCCAGTTGGCCAAGCAGATAGAACTTGAGCAGGCGGTGGAGAATATTGCCAAGCTCACGGAAGGCCCCACACTTGCCGCCTATAAGGAGCAGGCAGCAGAGGTTGCCGAGGTCCGCCAGGAAGAAGAGGGAGACAAGCCTGCCCATCAGGCGAGTGAAACGGAACTGGCAGCAGCCATTGGCTCCATCATGAATGACATTTCTGGGGAGGCAGAGAGCTTCCCTGCTCCCCCTCCCTACCCCGCGGAGTCAGAATCCGAGATGCCCGCAGAGCCATCTGTGCTGCCCTCTGCCCGGGAGGAGATGGAGCCTGAGACAGACCAGGCCGTTAGCAACATTTTGGAATCGGAAGCAGCCGCTGCGGCTGAGACCCCAGGCCCCCCAGCCCCCCCTGGGTCTGCTGCCTCGGCCACAGCAGCCACAAGCAAGGAGGCCGAGGTGAGTTTAAGCGAGTCTTCTGGTTCAGCACAGGAAGCAGAGGCCCCTCAGGAGGCTGATGGATCTCGGAAGGAAAGGGGCCGCCAGAAGACCACCCGGCCAAGGAGGAAACGGAGCACAAGCAAAAAGGGAGATACTGCCGAACTGAGGACCGCTGAGTCCGAAAGCATGCCGAGCAAATCCCCCCTTGCCAGTGAAGGGAAAGGGAAACTGGAGGACAGCGTGAAAGAGGACAGGCCCGGCAAGGATCCCCCCCCCGCCTCTCCCGAGCCCCCCGCCATGCCAGGCATCGGCCAGGCTCCACCCCAGGAGGAGGAGGCATCCCAGAAGCTTGCTCCCGAAAGCGCCCCCCTGCCCAAACCTCCCAATCCACGGGATCTGCCGCCTCCTGCCGACGATGTGAGCCAGACCGGGCTGAAGCTACGCTCGGCCTCTGAACGTGCTCCTGCAGCTCCGCCGAATGCCTCGAGCCCACCCGTGGCCACCCTTCCCTCGGCCACCGCAGCCAAGCTCGTGGCCCCCGTCTCTGCAGGACAGGCTCCCCTTCACTCCAGCGCAGCTAAGGTGACAGAATGGATTGTGAAGCACGAGGAGACCCGGGCACGCTCCACCCCTCCTCCCGCTCTTCTCCCCGATACAAAGGCCTCGGATATCGACCCCAATTCCAGCACTTTGCGGAAGATCCTGATGGAGCCCAAGTACGTGTCTGCCACCAGCATTGCCTCCACGCAGGTCACGGCCGCCATCTCTGAGCCGGTGAGTGCCCCTCGTGTGGCAGAGGCGCCACCTCACCCCCCAGCCGAGACCGTGAGGCCGGGAGCAGAGGGGCACCCCGCCGCCCCCGCCCCCAACGCTTTGGACTCCCCTGCCGCAGAGGCCCCCGCCTTCATGGAGAAGGAGAAGGTCGTGACGGTCCTTGCCCCCAAGGCCACGTCGGTGATCAGCAGGATTCCCCCGAACATCGATCTAGAGGAAGCCCCCAGAATCACCCTGGCGAGGCCAGCGCCCACCCCACCCACCTGCCTCATCAGCTCCCTCCCTCTGAAGCACAAGCAGAGGCTGAGTGCAAACGACGACAGCCGCTTCCCGCCCGGGTCCATGCCCGTGATTGAAGACCGGCCGGCCGAGAGCGGCTCCAGCCCGGGTCTTCGGGTCAACACGTCGGAAGGTGTTGTGCTGCTGAGCTGCTCGGGACAGAAGACGGAAGGCCCGCAGAGGATCAGCGCCAAGATCAGTCAGATCCCTCCCGCGAGCGCCGTCGACATTGAGTTCCAGCAGTCCGTCTCCAAGACCCAAATCAAGCAGGAGCCTCTTGGCCCGGGTCCGCCAGCCCCCAAGGCCTCTCAGGCAGCCGCAGGATACGGGAGCGCCTCGGTCCCTGCGGCGGCACTGGTGCTGGGCACTCAGCAGCAGTACGGCTCTTCGCCGGTGCTCACCGCCATTAAACAAGAGCGTGGCAGTTTGGAGAAATCCGAAGTCGTGCACCTTTCTGCCCCGACCCCTGCCTCTCAGCCTGGCCCGGTGAAGGTCCTCTCTCAGCCCAGCAACACTCCGCCCATCCTGGTCCACAGCCAGATGGTGCTCCCTCAGAGCCTGGCTTCCAGCACCAAGAAGCTTCCAGACCCAGCAGCAGCAGCGCTGAAGGTGGAGCCCAAGGCCCTCCAGCCTCCGAGCCTGAGCACCGGGGTGGGCCCTCATCACCCCTCCTTGTCTGGCAAGATGCATGCAGACACCAACCACGTGAGTGTGGGGCCCGGCACCCCAGCCGACCGGGCGGTTCCTCACCTGGGCGTCTCGAAGCAGGAGCCCCTATCCCCCCGGACGAGTGGACATTCTCCTTCGCCATTCCCAAGGGCCTGTCACCCGGGGGGCCCTTCTTCCCCGGCCTCGGTCATGTTGGGCATCCAGGGGTCTCCTTGCCCGGGGATCCCCGTGCCGCAGTACATCTCCAGCATGCACCCTGAGCAGTCTGTGATCATGCCTCCCCACAGCGTCACCCAGACCGTGTCCCTGGGCCACCTCTCCCAGGGGGAGGTGCGAATGAACACCCCTCCCCTGCCCGGCATGCCCTACAGCATCCGCTCGGAAGCGCTCCACTCTCCCCGGGCAGCTCTGCAGCCGCCGCGGTCCAGCACGCCCCAGCCAGCCCCTGTCAGAGAGATCGTCATGCCGCCCCTGTCTTCCCAGCATTCCCCGGAAGAGGAGATGCACTATCACCACACGGTGTGCCGGGGGTCGGCCCCCGTGCAGTCAGATGTGCTGGTCATGCAGCCCGATTTCCGCATGCACCCGACCGGCATCCGGCTGGACCAGTACAATGTGCCCCGGGATGTGAGGATGATGATGCACCCACACATGGTGGCGGTGGGGGGCGAGCATCACCCGGAGACGCGGCAGTCCAGGACCCCAGAAGGGGGATCGGTCAAGACGCCGCCTGCCCCCAAGACCCTCCCGCCCGTCAAAGAGGCCCCCAAGTCTTCGGAAGTCAAGCTGGCTCACTCGCCACACAGCGAGCCGCGGCTCCTCAGCGGCCAGCTGCCCGGCCTGCCTCTGACCCAGCCGGTGGTCGTGCCGCACGGCGTCCAGATCATGCATCCTGCCGGGAGCTCCTTCCACGACTACCGCACGGTGTACGGCGACATCCGGAGCTACCACCCAGCAGCAGCTCAGCTGGGCCCGCCCGCCTTCTCGGGGGCTCCCGCCATGGGGCTGCCTTCCCGGAGCATGACCCCCTCCCAGGTGAGGACGGGGGGGTGGAGGG